TTGTTTCATATTTCGCGCAACGGGCCGCTCCTCCCATCAAAATTGTGGCGATTTTTTCGTGGTGAGATTGAACGTGAAAAAAAAATGTTGAAAGAGGTCCCACAGGACGGCGATGAGGCAGTCGCTGCAGATAGTAAACAATTGGTGCTGGCGCGGAAACAACGTTTGCCAATTCAGTTGCGGTGTGAAGTGCTTAAATCGGTGCTTTAGGAGGTGCTAGCCATAATGGCTAGAATTATTGATGAACAGTACCCTGTTGCACATTGGGAGCGTAAGGCTGAACAGCAAGAGGCAGCGAATGTTGAGCTCAGGAATAGGAGAGCCAGGCAGCCTGCTGGGCAACTTGATACAAGGAACGCAACACTAAGGTGTCGAAAGCCTTGGGGCGGCCACGAATTGAACCCGGACATCTTGCTTGCTGGTCAAGTGTGCTACCCTTACACCACGGAATTTGGGACATTTTGTCAGGCCTCTCCATGTCATCTCAAATCACTACAGTCGTTTGCGCAGCGAGCATTGTCAGGCTGTGCATTTTCCTGTAGGGAGGTGAGATTTGTTTCACATTGCAGCCACAACGGAAAAGTTCATCTGCTGCAACTCACACTTATCTGCTGCACATGCGCTAAATTTCCTCTGTGCTAAGGTCGAACAAGTTCTTGGAAATGGACCGGATTGTTTCGGAATCAGTGGTACTTGCACCATGAGCTAATACTAAGAACCCATGAGTTAATCGATGATGTAAGAGTATTAAGTGTGCTGGGAAGAAGTGGTGGTGGCTATCGCCGCAACGCGCGAGGCCTACGAGACTAGATCATTTTCGGCCATAAGCTGGGCCATTAGGCTATGCCATCCTTGGCCAAGGTCTAAACCATCCACCCCTGACAGACCAGATCCACGGGGCTATGCTATACTAGGCTAAAGGCTTGGCCATCCAACGCAGTTATAGCCCGATGGCCCTGGCGATATCAGTGGCTCCCACTGCCATAGGCTTTGGTTCACCCTATTTTTCCCGTCCACTGAGGTGTTTTCTTTCTGTGTTTATTATTTTCCCGTTAGGTCAGGTGTGGCGGTTAGCGCCATCGCTTCCATGCAATAGTTTTCTGTTTGCGTTTCATGTCATAGCTGATTTGAGTTCTAGGAAGAAGTTGTGGTGGTGGCTATCACCGCAACGCGCGAGGCCTACGAGGCTAGATCACTTTAGGCCATAAGCTGGGCCATCCACCACTCAAAGCGCCAGGTCCATTAGGCTATGCCATCCTTGGCCATGGGCTAAACCATCCACCCCTGAAAGAGCCAGGTCCATGGGGCTATGCTATACTGCCAAGGGCTTGGCCATCCAACGCAGTTATAGCCCTATGGCCCTGGCGATATCAGTGGGAGCCATAAGCTTTGATTCATCCTATTATTTCCGTCCACTGAGGTGTTTTCTTTCTGTATTTATTTTTTCCCGTTAGGTCAGGTGTGGCTGTTAGCGCCATCGCCTCCATGCAATAGTTTTCTGTTTGCGTTTCATGTCATAGCCGATTTGAGTTCTCATGATTGATCAAGTCAAAATAATAGTCTAAAAAGGCTCTGCTTCATATGTCGCGCAAACCAGGTGCACCTCCCAACAAACTGGTGGCAATTTTTGCGAGGTGAGGTAAATAGTCTAAAAAGGCTCTGCTTCATATGTCGCGCAAACCAGGTGCACCTCCCATCAAACTGGTGGCAATTTTTGTGAGGTGAGGTTGAACGCGAAGAAGAAATGTTGAAGGTCACACATGACAGCGATGAGGCAGTTGTTGCTGGTAAAGAACGGTTGGTGCTGGCGCGGAAACAATGTTTGCCACTGCAGTTGCGGTGCGACGTGCCTAAATCGGTGCTAGCCGTAATGGCTAGAATCAGTGATGAACAGCAAGCAGATGTTGGTGGGGCCGCTGAGACCGCTGAACAGCAAGAGGCAGCTTATGCTGAGCTCCGGAATGTGAGAGCCGTGCAGCCTGCTGAGCAACTTGATGCAAGGAACGCAGCACCCATGTGTCGAAAGCTGGGGGCGGCCGGGAATTGAACCCGGTCCTCCTGCTTGCCGGTCAGGTGTGCTACCGTTACACCACGGAATTCGAGATATTTTGTCAAGCCTCTGCATGTCACATGCAATCACTATAGTCGTTTGCGCAGCGAGCACTGTCAGGCTGTACATTTATATGTAGGGAGGAGGCATTTGTTTCACACAGGAAAAATTCTCCTGCTGCAACTCACACTTTAGAACCAGTGATTACAACTTTCAGAGCCTCAGGGTAATGGGGTGGCAAGGCATTTTCTGGAATTAGTCGCAGGCATTGTGCAGCACATGTACTAAATTCCCTTTGTGCCCTCGAGTAAGTTCTCGGAAATGGCCCGTACTGTTTCAGAATCATTGGTGTCTGTACCATATGCTAACGCTAATAGCACATGAGCTAATCTGTCATGCAATAATATTGAATGTGGTAGGGAGACGAAATCAGCAAAGTCGTCTTGAGTCTCATGAAAAAGTGCTAAACCGCTCAGAATGAACGATTGTGGCAATCAGCTGGAATATCGTGATGATGGGTTTTAGGAACAGAATCTCCCAGAAAATGTAATGATGCGTTTAAGTTCCGAATGGGTAATGCGATGAACAGATGATTCTCAATGAGGCATTATGCTCATAATAGACTATTCAAATTTCCAGCTATTAGACGGCCAGCGTAGCGGCCGCAGGCCGCTAGTCTTATACTTTAATACGAAGAGCCATAGAATTGTGGTGGTGGTGGTTGTCACCCCAGCGCGCGAGGCCAAAGGCTAGGTCATCCACCACTCAAAGCGCCAGGTCTTTCAGGCTATGTTATTCCAGGCCATAAGCGTGGTCATCCAACGCTTTTAGGGCCAGGTCCACCGACTATATCAGTCTGAGCCATTGGCTTCATACTTAGCTGTCAGTCAAAGGGTGGTAATAACTGAATGCATGTCACGTTTTATTTTTTTTCCGTTAGGTCAGGCGTGGCGGTTTGGGACATCGCTTCCATGCAATAGTTTTCTGTTTGTGTTTCATATCATGGCCGATTTATTTGAGTGCTCACGATTGATGAAATCAATTCAATCAATATAATAATAACGTAAGTTCTCTGTTTCATACGTCGCGCAAACGGGCCGTTCTTCCCATCAAAATGGTGGCGATTTTTGTGATCTGAGGTTGAACATGAAAAAAAAAGTTGTTGAAAGAGGTCCCACAGGACGGTGATGAGGCAGCCGCTGCAGATAAAAAACGATTGGTGTTGGCGCGGAAACTACGTTTGCCACTGCGGTAGCGGTGTGAAGTGCCTAAATCGGTGCTTTAGGAGGTGCTAGCCATAATGGCTAGAACGACTGATGAACAATACCCAGTTGCACGTAGGGAGCGTAAGGTTGAACAGCAAGAGGCAAAGAATGCTGAGCTCAGGAATAAGAGAGCCACGCAGCCTGCTGGGCAACATGATGCAAGGAACGCAGCAATCAGGTGTCGAAAGCCGGTGGGCGGCCCGGGAATTGAACCCGGACCTCTTGCTTCCCAGTCATGTGTGCTACCATTACACCACGGAACTCGAGACATTTTGTCAGTCCTCTCCATGTCATCTCAAATCACTACAGTCGTTTGCGCAGCGAACACTGTCAGGCTGTACATTTTGCTGCAAGGAGGGGAGATTTGTTTCACATGGCTGCCACAACGGAAAAGTGCTTCTGCTGCAACTCACACTTAACGCTCACACTGTTGTTCACTGCTGCTAATGTAGAGGCGAAGCATTTTCAGGAATTATTCGTTAATATTCTGCTGCACATGCGCTAAATTCCCTCTATGCTAAAGTCGAACAAGTTCTTGGAAATGACCCGTACTATTTCAGAATCAGTTGTACCTGTACCATAAGCTAATGCTAATAACCCATGAACTAATCGGTAATGGCAAGAGTATTCAATGTGCTGTGGTTGTGGTGGTGGCTGTCACCACAACGCGCGAGGCCTACGTGACCAGGTCATTAAAATGATGGCCATTGACTATGTCGTCCACCACTCAAAGCGCCAGGTCCATTAGGCTGTGCAATTCTTGGCCATGGGCTAGACCATCCACCGCTCAAAGTTCCAGGTCCATGGGGCTATATCGGTCTGAGACGTAGGCTTTGGCTCATCCTATTATTTCCATAGGCTTAATACTTACCTGTGTCAAGCAAAGGGTGCTACGAACCGAATGCGTGTCACGTTTTCACTGATCGACCTCAAGTTCCTCATTTGAATACATTCTTTGCTGAAGTACATATTCTGTATTAATAATTTTCTCCGTTGGGTCAAACGTGGCAGTTCGCGCCATCGCTTCCATGCAATAGTTTTGTATTTGCGTTTCATGGCCAATTAATTTGAGTTCTCATAATTGATGAAGTCAAAGTAATAGTCTAAAAGTCTCTCTCCATATGTCGCGCAAACGAGGTGCACCTCCCATCAAAATGGTGGCGATTTTTGCGAGGTAAGTTTGAACGCGAAATATAAATATTGGAGGGATTCCCACAGGATGGCAATGAGGCAGTTGTTGCTGGTAAAAAACGATTGGTGCTGGCGCGGAAAAAACGTTTGCCACGGCAATTGCGGTGCGAAGTGCCTAAGTCGGTGCTAGCCGTAATGAATCGGTGATAAACAGCAAGCACATGTACATAGGGAGCATAGGGACGGTCAGACCGCTGAACAGCAAGAGGCAGTGAATGCTGAGCTTCGGAATCGGAGAGCCATGCCGTCTGCTAAGCAACTTGCTGCAAGGTTGGCATTTTCAGGATTAGTCTTTAGCATTGTGCTGCACATGCACTAACTTCCCTCTGTGCCGTCGAACAATTTCTTAGAAACGGTCCGTATTCGTTCAGAATCATTTTTGTTTGTACCATACGCTAACGCTAATAGCCGATGAGCTAATCGGTGATGCAAGAGTGTTGAATGTGTTGGGAAGACGAAATGATCAATGTCGTCTTGAGTCTCATGAAAACGTGCTAAACCGAGGCGTTCACAATGGCGATTGTGACATTCAGCTCGAACATCATGATGATGGTGTTTATGAGCAGAATATCCTTGTGTACTGTAAGCTATATGTATATAAATATAATCAAGCGGTTCAGATCCGAATGGGTAATGCAAGGAACAGAGGATTGTCAAGAAGACGTTTTGCTCGCAATAGACTATTCAAATTCCCACATACTAGACGGCCAGCGTAGCGGCCGCAGGCCGCTAGTTGGAAATGAAATGTGGGCACTACTTGAGGTTCTAGGTGGAGGAACTCTTGCCTCTTGCGTTGGATACGAAAGAAACCAGCATCTATGCAAATCTTTAAATATCGGAGGGTTTTGCGTCGCACTTTAGTGGTGTTGTAATTGGAACTCGATGGGCGATCATCGAGTTATATCCGCGAAGGTCGGGGTCAGTGGTTCGCCCGATAGCATGTTGGGCTTACGTGACGTAAATCAGGAGTTCGAAATCTCAACAAATCTAGCATTTTCAGGCTCGATATAGACACCGACGTCTTTGGAATGAGACATTGAATCATTGTTGACTGTGTGTGCATTGAATGTATCAATGTTGTTGCATCCATGTTACATTAACATTGATTCAACGCGGCGACAGTCACCGTTATATACCCACTTTGAGCCAACATTCATTCAATGCTGGACCATTCACTGTCGAAGTATGTGCAGTAAATGTTGAAGCAATATTGCAATGTTGGTTTTGAACATTGATATACCGTTGATGTCGACGTTGAATCACTTGTTGATGAAAATGAACCTTCAATATAGAATCAATACCGATAGACAACGTGGTGTCAATGTTAGCTGCTTTGACGAAATGATGATGAATCGACGTTGATTCAACGTTATTGTGCTACTTGGGTACAGTAAATTGGTTTAAATTGTTTGGTTTTGCATAGCGTTACGCATGTTTAAGAATATGTTGTAGTCATGAAATCATATCTCCCATATTTTATGGGCGAAAGAAATACAGTACAACAAACTGTAATTTACCTTTAGTGGTAATGTCTCTGCCCTGAGTGGCAAGTCAAGATGCCACATACCATTCGTCAAAATAACAAATGGTACATATGTAAAAATTACAAATAAATTAAATTAGTATTCTCTGGAGGAGTTTTGAACAATTTTAACTAAGAATAGGTCCAGAATAACTGATTTACAACCTGCGGGGTGGTAGGCCTAAGAAATTCTCTTGATCAACTTATAATACATATCAAAGATCGTACAACATTTTCTAAGTGGCAACTTTGGATTCGGCACTGTCTGGATTTCGAAGCTCATTTGGCTTCTGCTATTCAGTAAGTTTACGTTCTAACATTTCCAATGGTTGAGCAGAATTGGCACTACACTTGACATGGATAATGACATCAGGTTAGTCCCCCATTTCCCAAGTGAATGAGGTATAACCTCAATTCAAAACTCATAGTCCGCCTGAATGAATGTGCTATGGGTGTCTCTGATGATGTTCAGTGTTAAGCGATGTTGAAAGAAGGGATTCTGAGGGCATGTGCTAGTATGACGTGAAAAGATCTCGCTAATTTGTTCAATTTGTTAATTTCTAATGATTTTTTCTATCCCATCATTTTCACCACAAAAAAAAAACAAATGGAATACATGGGGTGAGAAGACAATATGCGTGCCGCATGAAGTTCTTCAGACTTTCCCATAAAAAATAGAAAACCTATGTCAAACCACTTATTGTTTGATGTGGAATTAGAGCGCTTTCAGTGGACATAGATAATGGGATCTCGTGAGCAGAGATTTTCTCCTAAGTAGATCTGACGCACTGTGAAATTCATATCATTTTCCACAACCGGAAGAGAAACTTCTTAGTTGATGATTGCCTTAATGAAAAGACTCCAGTCTTCGATATGAAGTTCCTTAATGTTCAACACTTTGAAGGTAAATGGTACCATCTCTTCCACAGTGAAAAATATTCCAAAAAAACGAGCCACTGGTGCGGTGTCCCTTGATAGCAATGACTAAAAGGTTGAATAGTTCTAGTCGCTAAAGTGGGTTTCATGAGAAAAACTCATTGGTCCTCATCACTGGGTGCACAGTATCAAGGTTTAGTTGAGCCATTGTTATGAGAGTGCTCCTAGAAAGGGGCTCATCGCCATGGCCTCCACAGCTTCTGTTGTCATGGATGCCGTTTAAAAGACATCGACTAAGAAAATTTAAATATCCATGGACTCCATACTCCATTTTTTCAGTAACCTTTCAGTATTCCTCCGTAAACTTTCTCCCGTAAACTTTTTTGCATCCACCCTAGTACTTGCCACCTTTTTGTGGGAATGAAGTTGCAATGTGTCGGAATACGACGCACGTGCTACTTTGTTTTAGCCCCCCCCCCCCCCAAAAGAAAGGATGAGTTTTCAAAGAGGAATATATGAAACGATTGGGAACGTGTAGATGAATGTTATCATTCCATTAAAAATTTCTTTCCATTAAAGGCGGAATAGAAACGAAACATAGTCTTGAAATAAAACATTATGTCCAGAATATCAAAAAAATATTTAATACATAACTCAAAGGAAATGGGTATTGTACTTAATTTTAATCAATTCATTGTAGAACATGGCTTTATCGTAGAGTCAATGTTCTCTTTGTTCTTATTAATTTCCGTTTCTTCCGTTCTTTTTGCTTCTCAATGTTTCTCTGTTCTTGCAATATTCAAAAACCTTTTGTCTTTCGTAATATATCTTCCAGTCAACGAGCAAATAAGGTATTTATGTTGCGTCTACGATGGGCTCACCCTCAACTGACATGGTTTTTTCTTCATCCACGGCCTTCTTCGATTTTAACTCTGCTGCAATCTTGGAATCCAGTGCTTCAATCCAGAATCGTGTTACATTGTTCGCCCTTGAGACAAGCCCATTCAAGCGGTTTTCGAGGCCCACCTCCTTCACATCTGTGTCGGACTCAACTAGGGATTTGTGACATTCCTTCATCACAGCTTCCCACTTTTCTGCTGCGTCGCGCCAAGCAGCCGCCGCATCCTCGAAAAAAAGTGCCACAGCCTTCGCAGCCACTGATTCAGTTCGCATCGCTTCCGTTCGCCAATAAACCGCTCTCTCCGTCTCAATCCTGAATGTTTCATCTGCCTCTGTTTTATTGGTCGATGCATCCCCTACGCATACTTGCCACCTTTCCAACAGTTTTTCCATTTCCCTTATTAGGTTTTTATTATTAGAGACATCTGAATCTGCATAATTGGTTTGTTGTGACAAATTTGAAGTTGCCTCAATTGTTGCTGCATTGTCTTTCTTTGTTTCTGCTTCTGCGATATCCTCTTTCCCCTGCACCACAATTTCCTCCTCCTTTTTGTTCGGTGACTGAGACTCGCCTCCTGTCTCAATCACACTTCGCCCCAAAATTTCCTCGTTTCCGGGCGGTGTCAATGTCGATAACTCCTGATTATCCAAGTGCGATTCAGTTATTTTCCACTGATCAGGATGAATTGCTTCATTTTTTGATGACTGGGGAATCTTCTCTTCTTGGCCTGTATTGACATCATTACCTGCTGTTGTTTGACTGTCTCTGTATATTTGAAGTAGGGGTGCGCCAAGAACGAAGACGATAATTAGCCACACGACTGCAATAGCACAGAAACTAACTTTGAGTTTCCGGTTTTTCGTATGAATTTTATCATCCTCGTTAAAGGACGATTGCAGATAACCTCCTAATTCCAGAGTGACGTGCTGCAGTCCCTTTTTCGTAGGGTTGAACCTACGTCTACTATCACTCTGTGAGATGTTCCAACTGTTTTCCAATGTTTCATCTGCTTGTGGCACCGTTTCCCAGTTCTTAGGAGCTACTGGCCGATAACCTGTAAATAATAATCATAAATCAGGAGAGATATAAAATGAGAGATTGAAGTACATGAACTGCATATGATTGAACCCATTACAATCGAGTATACTTTTTTGGAATAACATACAAACTTACGCCTCTACTCTCTTGCCAAGTCCAACACCAACAAATAGACTTTATCAGGAAAGTAAATGAAGCACACAAGCGACAGACAAGTGCAATCGACAGAGACCCAGGAATATGGAATATGAATCTCAGAGACCGCTTCACAACGAGACCCCTGGAGCTCGTATACAAAAGAGGAAACCCGAATAGTATCGATGACGAAAGGACCATGCCAAAAATTCAGTGGTACTGTCTCCAGTCGTATCCACTGACGACGTGGGTGTTCTTTAATGGATCCGCAACTTTAACGCAATTTAAAATACTGATTTTCCATTTATTCAATTTCATCCGATTGTCATTTTCCTTTTCTAGATCAATTCTAGATTCATAGAAAGTATGGAATACTACGTTATTGGTAAACTACCGGTCAGTGCATTCGTCAAAACGTCAAAATCGAAGTAACATTAAGGTCGAAATCACCTAATATTGAAGGATAAATTAATGAAGTTCTTTCAGAGGAAGATCGAAGAGGAAACAGAAAGGAATGATGAAGGAATCACCAGTGCCAAGAACGTCACTTTCATCATATTGAGAGTGTTATTTCCGTATATTTAAAATGCCATAGATTTTTTAATAGATATGGTTGCATTACTTTGGGACGTTTCTAAATTCGTGGGTCGCATAAATAGGGGAAGAGGACTTGATAATTTGCGACATTATTGAGAACCACTGCCATACTTACGGAAATATGAACAACTTAACTGGGCTTATTTTTGGATTATAAACATTTAAATGAATGGAGAAACTTTAACATAAACCCAATTGATAGAATGAAGTTGTGCTGCTCTTGTCCTTGTGAGAGTCAGTTTTCACAAGGGTGCATGGGAAATATATTTTCATTTGATAGTAACCAGTGAAAAGTGAAAGCATGAAGCCTATCCCCTTCTAATATTCACAGAAATATTCTTTGTGAAATAGGGACTTGAGTAATTAACATATTCAAGCAGTTAAACAGGTTAGTTTACAACACAGGTTAATTCCTAAAAATTTCATTAGCCAATCCTACTGGAAACTGTGAACCCGGACTCCACTTGGCGAAAGGAAGATACCTTCTAAGGCAATTTGACATCTCTAGAAATTTAGGATTCCTGATCTGCTGCCCTAGCATAATTCTCATGAATATGAATGGTAATGAAGTGACTTAAATAACTCTCGATTGCAAACTAAGGTCACTTCTCATCGTGTGTAGCTATTTTAGGCAATACCACACTACTTCTGCAAAAGATAAATCCTCTTCTTGTCATAACATAAAGACAGCGTATGGTAGGATGTCATATGAATAAGCTGGAATAATCGCAGCTTTAGTTTCGACGTATCATTCACTACGGTATTGCAATGAAGTAAAACCGCGATCATAAATTCATAGAAGCTGAAAGGAGAACAGTTTATTTCGAAATAAAAAATTGTTGTCAGCAGTAAGATATTCATATTTGATGAATGTTGATCAAATTTCCTCAGAGAAAGCTCATGATGAAATGACTCCACCATGAAAGTGGGATAGAACAGAGGTTCTCTCTTATCTCGTTCCCCTCTGCAGTGCCGAACTCCATCACTCATATCCAGATAGGCAGAGTCAATAATGTAAAATCCAGGAAGATGAAATTAAAAGGTATGGGAGCTAAGACCGAGGGGGGAATAATGATAGAGGGTTATTTGTAGCTCATCATTGAATGCGACTCGAGATTCTAGACGCTTCTTCCCTTCCCTCACTAGGATACGCACTGATATTGAAATATTATATTATTTTAATTCACTCATCCAAACATTGTAATTGCTTAATTTTTTGCGGCATGAATGGTGGTTAACTTATCTTATCATTCCGTCAAACGTTAATAATTTCCATATGGGCGCTTCTTTTATGAGAATTTTCATATTGGATTTTAACAACCTTTACAGCAATGTTGGTTCCACTCAGGAAACAAACTGTTGCATACCCCATGAAGGAAGAGAGTCCCGTTTTTAATACATTCAACATCCAATCTCGATTATTCCTGCTTTCAGGCCTTGAAGCAAGGCTTTAAAAAGAAAGTCAGATCTTCAGCTAAGCAGGTGCACTTAATCCCTAGCCATCCCTAGCTAGAAAAATTGAGTTTGAATACTCACCCGTTGAAATCCCATCCATGACTGCTTTCGTCCACAAGTTCTTGGTGTAGATAAGAATTGTCGTCCCAAACTAAATTAAAATGTTATTAGGCGGACGGCCATGAGTTCTAATTTTTATGTGAGAACACAACCTGAAAATTAAGATATGTACAGGGTGACCCATTTCAGTATTGAATATATACGGTTTCGTTTGACTATAACTTTGGAAAATTCTTACCAACTGTAATAATATTTTAACAGAAAATAGTGTTGACGTTCTTCAGCAAAGTTTTTGAGAAATTGAATTCGTACCCTAACTCGAAACTTTTGCATAGGCCCTCTGATTTCTCATCTAATTCAAAATTTTGGGAAATATTGATTTTTCATTGTGACTTGTATATTGTGCATTTGTGCCTGTCATTGGTGCTATTTATTAAGCCCTATGTCTAAATTTGCCGATTTTTCGTTTTCCGATGTCATTTTCTGTGAATGAACGGGCAAAGGTTGCTCCTTAGTGCAAATGGGGAAAACGTCCTGTAATTGTTCGGTGAACAATCACGGGATGAGGAATAACCAACTGTATATTAAAGCACGTTTTGAACGATATCTTCATATGCTAACTCCAAGAGCCGCAAAATCCTTTAAACCTGAGCCGAACGAAATTCAATTCAACGAATTTTTGAGTGCGGTTTTCATCTTCTGAGCGCCTTCGCTAATCGCCGTTTTCTGTCCTCAAGTTACACACTTTCAGTTTATATTAAAGTATTGGGCCACTTGATAATGCTCATGCAAGTTAGCGGAACTCGACCAAATCATGATATAAAATATAAATTCTCCATGACTTTATATTAGAATTCGATGGGAAACCAGCGTGTGTGTTCAAGTTACGATAAAAATTGCATTTCTCAAAAACATTGAAGCAGAATTCAATTAAAATTGGCTAAATAAAATTAAAATGTCAGCACTACCGTGTGTTAAAATACTATTAAAATTGGCTGACGTTAACATGAGCTACAACTAAACAAATCTGTATCTGCATAAATGGGCCACCCAATACTGTATAATGACTAGAGAAGTATTTCTTGCATCCAGAAATGCATATTGGATGCATGAATCTCAAGCTTCCGCGAGAGAAAGTCAACAAAATGTAAATGCAACACATTTATTTTTCTACGTTTTTGGCCGGTATGGTCTTGGTCTAACCTATTATGCAATAGAAGTGTTTCGCTGTCATGACGTATGCGGTGCATACGTCATGACAGAGAAATACCATAAGCCAAGATTTCCATGGATACACATACTGCATCCAGTTGAATACGTTATTGGTCGTGTGCCTCCCACATCCTATACCAGATATCCAGAAATACTTAGAACCGAAGAATTAGTGCAAGGGCAATATATAGAATGCACAATATCTTATTATGAAATTAAATGCTCTTCCCGCTCTCACTCCATCACGTCACTGGCGAGGTGAGGAAAATAAATCCAATTCAAGTTCACAAGAATGTGCGTTGAACGAAGACGGTCATCACTCGCTAACAGCCCGAAGCCTCCAATCTTTCGTGGATTAGCTTCGTTCAGATATGATATCTTTATTACTTACCGCCATAATATCTGGCTTTTGACGGTAAAAAAGCATGTCAAAGCTCATGTTGAGGCTCCGTTTCCCGTTGAAAGCAAATTTGGGAGCTGGCTATGCTTTTTTGAGGCACGTAGTCGCTCATACCATCCATCCATCCATCCATCTTCAACGCCCGCTATTCCTTTCGGGATGTGGGGGCAGCAGCTCCAGGAGATTCAGATATGTCAAAGCAGGAAAAATTTTCTGCCAAACTCTTCCCTGCTTTATTTTGAAACTACCAAATATTCTCCTAAATATTAAAAATTCGGTATAAGATCATAAATTGAAGTAATAACTTGACCGAATGTTTTTCAATTTAGAAAACACAGTATCATAAATTTTTTGTTGGAAAACGTTTCACCTTCATCAGCCACTGTTTTCAGAATGAATCCTTCATTGAAACAGCCTAACTCTTACAGACGGTGAATGATCTCATAAGTAGAAGTGTCTTAGCAACCCCCCCCCCCTCCCGGGTGCATGGAAGAAGAGAACCAAATTATTTTCTGAATAAAATGGCCATCCTAGGAAAAGATCCGTCAAGAAAATCAAAAGAAGTTGTCATCGAAATGCCGACGTTATCACTGCTGCCTCTTCTCTCAAGGAAAAAATATATGACGCATCAAGCATTTGTTTTTAAGTGGTTAACAAAGGACCCTCTACCTACTGAGATTTGACAACTCAACTCACTCCTTGGCAACTGACACAACAGTCCTTCCTTATCCCGCAGACAAGGTCCTCTGGTTTTTCACATATACAATAACCCTTAGCTCGTGAAGAGGCTAAGGTTCCTGACGGAAATGACCTCTACCCGTCTTACGAAATGGTAATTCAGGCGGAAACCTTCTATAACCCAGAAGGCATCAATGAGAATGAATCGTATGGAGAAATACCCCAGTAGTAATTCCTGAGCACACTTTTCATAGGTTCCTAGCTTTAATGCCACAGGCCAACACATCGCCTTTTTCTTAGTAATCAAAAACTGCTTCTTTGATGACGTAAGGGAGAGGTCTGGGACAATATGAAGGAAAACAGACATGGAAAATATATTTATTCTGTCTCATTCATCATGGGAACGGAAATGTTTTTAAGCATCCACTCTTCTTCCAGAACACACTTATGCTACTACTGTGGCTTCTTTGTATGTGAAACTTTGGGCATTTTAAAGCTATACATTGTTAACATACCCATTTTCCCCCTAGTATAATTATAATTAATCAAATTCTGTTGAGAAAATAGTCCAGACCGATATTTTGGCTTGACGATAGGAATCCTGGACTTCTGGACAGTAACTCCCTGATAGAAATTGCTCAAGTATCTGGCAGAAATGACAAAAAAGCCTTCTGAAGTTGAATCTTCGACGGTAAATCCACAAGTCATTGTTAGAAATTGATGGAAATTTTCAAAAAGCCAATCTTGAACCATCGCAATCTAGACCTTAATCAATGTCCATAGTTGAGAGCTATGTCTTAATAGCTCAATTTTAAACATTTTCAGAAGACAATACGTTTATGCAATCTCTCGGAAAGCAGACAATTACTTTGGAACTGTCTATCTTTTCTTCAAAATTCACTTTAATGAGTAAAAGAAGGATTCAAAACTGGAGATGAAAACTATATTAATGGACAGTTAAGGAACGCTTGATAGATTATCCCCTATGCTCCTGGCATCGGGATACGAGGACTTTTGTCCAGTTAACCTAAGGGTGTCCTAAAATACAAGGTTTTTCGAGGTTTTGCTGGTCGAGTTCGTTGTCGTCTGTTCACACTTTACCCACACACCGACAGAAGGCAGCCGGTCGTGGGCGGCAAGACATCCTTTTCCCTTCCTCTTCCTTCTGGTGATGGATTGCATTCTTTTTGGAAGCGAAAGTTCAGTGGAATTGCTGGCAGAGAACTTTCTGAGAACTTCTTCCCATTATTTGCACACCTGAAAAATTCATTTTCCTTCGTCCACCCAACTTTGCGTTGCATTTCAGTCACACTTTGTGAGGACATGTTCATGGCCAAGTACCTATTAGCCTTTCGGCAAGTTCTGACAACCCGGCTCAGTCCTCTCCGACTCCCACATGAGGCCCTTATACCGATTCGCGGACGAATTCCAGATTTCCAGATTCCAGAAAGGAGAAACACTAATCGGACCCGGATTAGTTCCTTTATGTTTCACTCTTATTTATTTAAATGTTATTGGTTCTTTCAATATTAATTTGAGCAGACTAATTGTGTTGCTCCCCCGGGCGTTTTATTCAGTCACCCACAGTGGTAGGCAAAGTGCCATCAAATGCCGAAGTGCCATAGTATAGTGAAGCCCTAGCACAACACTATTGTTTGTATGAGTGGTTGCCTCAGGAAATCGGCCTGAAGAATATGAATAATATTTGCAGCTTAGCCTAATTAATCTAATAATGTGTCCAGCACTCAGCATTTGAAATGGATCATTCTCGATTTCGTTGATTGCGATGGAAGAGATAAAGCATGCCACATACAGCATTCGATGAATGTATTGGATTGCAGAACGCCCTCAACGCGAAGCCGAATGCCACCACTCGCAAATTGGCGACTACACTTGGAGTCACCCATATGACCATCGGCAACCATCTGAACGACCTCGGCTATTGGAAGGTTTACTCGACATAGGTCCCTCATCCGCTCAGCGACTCTGACAAAACAAGCCGTGTCAGTGTCTCTGAATCACTGCTGCTTCGTCCGCACAGAAAGGACCTTCTGAAGGAAATCGCTACTGGAGATGAGAGCTGGGTCCTCGACGTCAACCATACTCGCAAGAGTCAGTGGCTTCCACGAGGAGAATTGCCGCCACATGAAGCAAAACCAGGAAAAGCCGTTCAAGACTGTTGGGCCGAGTCAGGAGAGGCTGAGGGTGTACTCCGGGTATATGGCTAAGCGCCTGCTTAAGGTCTAAAGGTCTAAGGTCTTTCCTCTTTGTGATTAGCCTGGGCCTAATTTTCCTTTATGTTTCACGCTTATTTATTTAAATAAATTTTATTGGTTCTTTCAATATTAATTTGAGCAGACTAATTGTGTTGCTCCCCAGGGCGTTTTATTCAGTCACCCACAGTGCTAGGCAAAGTGCCATCAAATGCCGAAGTGCCATAGTATAGTGAAGCCATAGCACTACACTATTGTTTGTAGGAGTGGTTGCCTCAGGAAATCGGCCTGAAGAATAAGAATAATATTTGCAGCTTAGCCTAATTAATCTAATAATGTGTCCAGCACTCAGCATTTGAAATGGATCATTCTCGATTTCGTTGATTGCGATGGAAGAGATAAAGCATGCCACATACAGCGTTCGATGAATGTATTGGGTTGCGGAACGCCCTCAACGCGAAGCCGAACGCCACCACTCGCGAATTGGCGACTACACTTGGAGTCACCCATATGACCATCGGCAACCATCTGAACGACCTCGGCTATCGGAAGGTTTAGGTCCCTCATCCGCTCAGCGACTCTGACAAAACAAGCCGTGTCGGTGTCTGCGAATCACTGCTCCTTCGTCCGCACAGAAAGGACCTTCTGAAGGAAATCCTTACTGGAGATGAGAACTGGGTCCTCTACGTCAACCATACTCGCAAGAGTCAGTGGCTTCCACGAAGAGAATAGCCGCCACATGAACCGAAACCAGGGTTTCAGGAGAAGAAGGTTCTTCTCTGCTGTTGGTGGGATTCAGAAGGAATGTTGTACTATGAGCTCCTGCCAACCGGTTCCACCGTGACTGCCGTCGTCTACGCTGCTCGACTTTAAAGTTGGCTGGCGTCATTCAAAAAGAGCGTCCCAAACGCGACAAAGTTCTCCTTCTGCATGACAACGCTCGTCCACGTGTTGCGAAGATGACTCGCCAGACAATTTCGGAACCGGGCTGGGAAGTTTCACCCTATCCATCGTATTCTCAGGACTTCGCCCCTTCCGACTATCACTTGTTCCGGGCCATCAAGAATCACCTGCGGGACAAGGCCTTCGACAATCGAGCATAGCTCGAAAAAGATGTCGGCCGTTTCTTCGCTTCAAAATCGCCAGAATTCTGGGCAAAGGGTATCGAGCAGTTACCCGTGCATTGGGAACATGTCGTAGACAACAATGGTCATTATATTGTAGACTGAAATTGCATTTCAATAAAGTTATAAAATTTTGAAAAATTTGCGCAGAGTGTTGCAAGACTTTCTTTCCAACCCAATACTTTCGAACCATTGTGGACCCCATAATTTGGATATCCTTTGACTTTGAGGAAGTGGTTCACACTAAGTGAGAACCATAAATCCAGAGATTCGTACAGATGATCTTTTCAGAGCATCCATAAAATCATGATCGGATTGGCTCACGGGGATACCAGGAAATTTATATAGGGTCCCCATACCTGATATTCAAATTTTATAAAACTATAAATGCGGCTTATTATAGTCTAAACATGCGCTATGTAGTTACTGTATATCAAAATGGAATGATGTGTCTCTTAATTCATCCCTGAATTTTTCTCACATGTATTCATGGGTGGGAAGGAGAGGGATGCGAGGCCACTCTGTCTTAGTAATATAATGCTATCTGCCACTCTGTCTAGTAAAGAATGTCCGCACAATTATACATATTTTCGAAAGGGGGTGGCAGCTCGAAAATGGTGGAGAAATGTTGTTTCAGCGCAAATACAGCGGGACGTTTCATTGCATCGTCTCCTTTGCGTGAAGGGGTTCACGAAAGGGTTCGCCTTTCCTATGCTATATAAAAAAGAAGGAAAAATATTAATTAGTGGGACCATATAGTGGGAAAATGAAATCCATACATACCTACAAAGAAAACAAATTTAATTCTTAAAAGCATTTGCAAGTCACTTCAACATCATTATAAAGTTCAATGTAAATGGCTTTTACGCCTCTGTTCAACCTCCCAATACATGCAAAGGCTCTTTTATTTTCATTTTGTTCTTGGTTTTTACGTTTTTCATTACCTACTAGTTATTTATCATTTTTCAATGTTGAGGCAATATTGAGACCTGATTTATTGATCTTTGCTTTTTCTTGTCAATGTGCAAATCTGCAATCACATCACCTGAGATCATTTTCTCCTCCTTCACTGCCTTACTTGACTTTTCCTTTGCCTCACTTGTGGCGGCCAGTGCCGCAATCCAGACTTCCTTCACATCGTTGGCCCTAATTGCAATGTTACTTAAGCGGGTTTGCGGACTCTCCCCCTTTTCAACATCTTTATTGGCCTCCAAAAGTGCTTCACGACACTTCGCCATCACTGCTTCCCACTTTTCTATTACGGAGAACCAGGCAGTCGCGGCATCTGCGTAATAAACTGCCATCTCCCGTGCAGCTGCTGACTGTGTTCTCACTGCTTCCGTTCGCCAGTACTCTGATCTCTCCCTGTCATTTCTCGATGTTTCTTTCGCTGTCTTTTTCTTTGTCCTTGCATCGCCTATACACTCATGCCATTTCTCCAACGTTTTCTCTACTTCCTGTATCAGCTTCATCTTGTTAGTGACCTCTAGATCTATGTGGTTAATTGGTGTGGAAGGCTCTGAGGTTGCCGCAAATGTTGCAGCCATGTCCATATTTTCCTCATTGCGTCTTCCTTCTGCCTCTTCCTCTCTCTCTATTTCCTCTCTTTTCTCCTGCTTCACATTTGGTGACATGGACGCACTTCCTGTCTCTTCCAAAGTGAACCCCAAAATCTCCCATTTTTTTGATGATGCTGCAGTAGAAGACTTCGCCTGGTTATTTAAATGTGAATCCGTTTCATTCCAATTCAGAGGAAGATGATCAATTCTTTTTTTGGATGGTATGGGAGGGGTCTGCTGATCTTGACCAGACTCGACATCATTGACTTCTGTATTTTGATCTTCTCCATGTGACCCACCTAGCAGAAAGACGATGGCCAATACTCCACCGAAAACAATGAAGAAGCAAACACAGAAAAGCACGATAATTTTCCAAGAGCCGTCTTGAGAGATCCGTTTCTGGTCTGATGACGCTACCGCTACCGGGCGATATCCCTTTCGGATGCATCTCCACGGTGCAAAGATCGCAGCTTTGAGAAGGCGTATTCCTGCGGGTGGTAAAGTTAATTCTGAATTATTTCCTAACGTTGAAGTAGAAGATGAGCACAGAGCAACTCATTTCATACACAATATTACGTTGTATTTATTTCCATTCACGGTATGCTGTGTAAATTGTAGATGCTAACAAAGAGATTTAAATTTGCAGTTTTTCACTCATCACGGGGACATGTTTAGTATTGCAAATCCATTTTTCCCTCTCCCCCAACAAAAAAAGAAACGGAATAAACTCTGGGAAAGAAAATGAATTACTTACCGGTAGAAGGAATCATCTGCTTATATTTTGCAGGTATGAATGAAACCCCTCTCATTCACTTCAATTGTATTTGGTCGATTGGAAAGTTCTGGCCGTTTCGAGAATTTTACAGGAAAAAATGTCTGGAACTCTCTCGAACCTTCGACCGCGACCGCGAACCTGACCGCTGAGGTGTGGACTTCGCTGCTGTCGTACCAGTGTACAAACGACTGGCTGGATTCCGTAGTCACTGGAGACGAAAAGTGGATGCTGTACGTCAACTACCAACGCAAGCGCCAGTGGGTCGATGCTGATGCCCAGCCAGAGCCGGAGCCGAATGGTGACCCCGGAAAAGTTATGTTGTGCATTTGGTGGGACGTGCAAGGCGTGATCAACTTCGAGCTGCTCCCACCCGATACCAGCACCACTGCCGCCTACTACTGCGATCGGCTACAGAAGCTCGCCGACAAACTCTGCACGGTGAGGCCAGGCAACCGTCGTTTTCGATTCCTGCACGATAACGCAAGACCGCACGTCGCGAAGATCGCACGGCAGAAACTGCTGGATCTGGGCTGGGAGGTCCTGCCTCACCCTCCGTATAGCCCAGATCTGGCGCCAACCGGCTAACATCTCTTCCGCGCTCTGGACAACCATCTTCGCCTGAAAGGGTTCAAGGATGACGCCGAGGTCGAAAACTGGCTGCCTGATACCTGCCTCACCCTCCGTATAGCCCAGATCTGGCGTCAACCGGCTAACATCTCTTCCGCGCTCTGGACAACCATCTTCGCCTGAAAGGGTTCAAGGATGACGCCGAGGTCGAAAACTGGCTGCCTGATTTTTTCGACTCACAGCCAGGTCAGTTCTACAGGGATGGAATCAGGAGTCTGCCTGATCGTTGGCAGAAGGTGATTGACTGTGATGGCCATGATGAATAAACTTTTTTTGCTTTTTTAAAAAACTCGGTTGTATGGAATGTTCTCGAAACGGCCAGAACTTTCCGATCGACGCAATAAAATATAGAAGTATAATAATATCTATGATCCAATGAAATATTTCAATTTCTCACCTCCCGCATCTGGCGCATCCATGAGATATAATTGCCCGACTTCTTCTAGGACGTCCATAAAGGTCTTGATCCCATTCGGACCTTTCTGTCGAACAATTAAAAGGATGGCCTCCCTCTCTTGAACTCTCCCCTTCGGATTTTCTACGCTGTCTCTCCACTCTGGCCGGAGTATTCCCTTCGCAATGAGCATGCCTGGAACTCTATCTACGTCCAGTTTATCTCGCAATTGAGGCCAACAATTGAGAAGTCGTTCTTCAAGGGAAGATGACCTTTCAGATGCCATTGCACATACGCAGTTCCTTGTAGATCAATCCTGAAATGACAATGCCTCTTGCTTGGTGGTCGTGTGGCAAGCTTTCCAAACTAAGGAAGGGAATGCATCGGCTTGTATCTGAGAAGCTTGAGAAGGATATATCAAGCCATACTTGCAAATTTAAACATACCCAAGTGAAAGATATTTGTGAAAATTAATAGGACGGTATACAAGAATTTTTAGACTCTATAGGATCTATGAGCCTCTATGTAGTGACTGCATAGATTCTGAATATAGGTCTACAGGACATATACATTTCCGAGATATTGGCATGCTGTTTATGGATCAATGTAATATTCTAAGCAGTATACAACGTATGACCAAGTTCCATCAACTTTTAACCCATACATATCTGTTATAATTAATGCAGCTATAATCTCGAAACTCGCACTGTTCATAGACTATACTGGGTGTTACAAAAGTGAGGAATCATAGAAAATAACATGGGGATCCTTTCCAGACAAGATTGTACAGTATAACAAGAACAAGTTAATCTGAGCAGATCCTTCAACTCTTTAGCTTTCGTAATCTCAAAGTCTGATTCAAGTTGCCCAGTGTGATACTGAGTGACCCATGGCCGCTCAATTTCGCCAAATTAACCCAATTTTCGTCTAATTATCAGGATGTGAAACATTTCTACAAAAATAGAAAAAAAAAGACCAAATTTGACCCAGAGTAGTACAGAGACACCCATGGTGTGTATTTCGACCAATTATGGCCCATATCGACCCATGGTGATTTACCCTGAATATCTCATTTTCATAGTAACTGGAATTGACCTAAAGAGATCCAATAGGTGACCTGTCGTTCCAAGAGAAAAGGTTTTATGTAAATCAATGAGGCAGTATAGAGGAACTTGAAGACTCCATAGAATCTATGTCTCTATGTAGTGACTGAATAGAATCAGAAGCGAGACTTCTAGGCCAAAAACTATGATATTGGGTAAATGTTTGCGCATCGACGGCATACATTATGTGGTATACATTGTATGACCAAGTTTCCACAACTTTCAACCCATAAATATTTTCTCTTACTGCAGTTATAATCACGAAACTTATTTTGTGCATAACACGGTGTCACGGTGTCCTTTTCCGGAGAGTATTGAATTTCCAGCATGAACAGATTGCAAAGTTTAGAGAGAACCAGAGTCCCTTTTGTCTGAATCCAATTCTACTTTCTCAGGAACAGAAATGGTGAGAGGTCCCTAATTGGTGTGGGTATATGCTCTTCCATCTACAAGAGAAAGTCCGTAAATGTGACATCATATTCTGAAAAGATGCCCTTGTACATGCATTTCACAAGCACTATGATGAAAAAGACTCAAGATAATAGCTCTGCTCCTTCAAAGCTCCTCTTGAATCCTCATGAGGACAACTTAGAAGCTATCCTTGGAATTGAAACAAGGATTTAGAGAGATATGGCTTCTCAGAATGTAACTACAAATCTGCAACAACTGGTCTCTTCTTTTAGACTGAGAAGTATAGTTCATTTACCCTGAGCTGAATTGACCAAGGAACAGCATTGGACGATTTAGAAATAGGAACCCCAGTTCATACCAAGTTAGAGAGATCTGAATCTATCCATTTCTTGACTCACCATAAATTTAAATGTGGTTACTCGTATGTATCTTGAACTGCCTATGCGAGCAATGCCTCTTCAGAATTGAGAGCAAAATGGGCAAAGTCCTCAAGCTAAATGCTTCCATCAAGTGATCTTCAAGGAGCCACTACTAGTCTTCAATATGAAGAATTAGAGGGAACTTATATATTGCAGCTTCAACCTATCTGAGCTTGAGTAAGATTCTTGGGAAGCTTGTTGACATCGGGAGTGGTGTGATGTTATCAAAGAGAAATTTGACCAGTGTCATAATAATGGCTAACGGATCTGGTGCTAGGTTCCCCAATGTCTCCTTGTGAAACTTTTCTCCATGGAAGACTTGAAACGAAGTCTTTGACAGACAAGGCTTTCCATGCCAAGCTGGGAAAGGAAGCTCATCTGCCTCAATCTCATCTTAAAGCTATTCTGAGTAAGTCTGAATTTCATTTATATATGTCGTAGGGTTTTGTGGAATTCAGGGGGATTTCGAATCTCCCTAGGGGGAGACAGGATTACACTAAACTCGCAGGTTTAGCGGAATCCTCTCAAAGTCGTGTCAATGTCACTACACCCTAGGGAGATTCCATATCTCCCTGGCTTGAAAATTACCCTTCCCAC